TCTAACACGTATCATCTCTGGTGATCAGGAGGCCATTTTCTCCACCCACCTCGAGGCATTTCCTAGGAGTTCCATGCAGGTTTTCATAGCAGGGAAATCTCAAAGAGCTGCACTGGTAGATCTGGACATTAGTCAAATAAATGCCTCACTTTAAAACATACAGACAATGAATTCTTTAAAATGTACCTGTAAAATAGGACATCTGGCTCTGCATGGGTACCAAAGGTACATTTTTAAAAAGCAGATAACTGGATTATTGCTTAATTTAAATCAAGGCTGATGATTTTTAATGATTCTAAACAGTCACCAGCCTCTGGCATTCAGTTATCTGTGGATCGTCACACGGTATACTTGTCCTTGACTTTACCATTACTTTAAGATTCCACAATCTTACCGGTTATAGTTAACGAGCTACTACTCAACATTTAATATCTTCACATAAATAAAGCTGGTTAAGGAAGTATCACGTTGTCTATCATAAAAGTCACTAACGTCCCACAAACTCTCCATATGGAGACCAATTTTACACAGATCACAAGCATGCACAAAAGGCTGTTTGCATGCTATAAACTTGACAGAATTTCTCAAGGGCAATCATCTCAAGTAATGTTTTTAAAGTAATCTCTATGCCCAAAGTGGGGCTCAAACTCCTGACCCCGAGACCAAGAGTCACCTGCTTCACTGTCTGAGCCGCTGGGCGCCCATCATCTAGAGTAATGTAAGAGAGTAGGGCTTCTACATACTTTTATATAGGTACACGTTATTATAGATTTTTACGTAAAATGAAATAGGAATATTATCTTACTGAATGGCTCCAATCTCCTTTTAGTCTTCTTTTCCTCACTTATCAAATTCCTTTTACAAAGTTCACTGTCATTTATATGCCAATTAGGTGGACACTTAAAGGGTATGAATTAATCTACTTCATAAAATCTAGTTAAGTTGGGGAACCTGGGTGGCTCAGTTGGTCCGACTCTTGGTTTCAGCTCAGGTCATGATCTCACAGTTCACGAGTTGGAGCCCCATGTCAGGCTCTGCGCTGTCACTGTGGAGCCTCCTTGGGGTTCTCTGTCTCCCTCTGTTCTCTCTCTCTCTCTCTCTCTTTCTCAAAAATAAACAAACATTTAAAAATAAAAAAGAATCTAGTATATCAGGTCTCTAGAACCCTCTCCCGGTGTACCATTTAACTGGCAAATCAGTGATTTCTCAATGATACATATTAAGAAATTTGGCCAATTACAAACCACGGGTATCCAGTGTAGCAATGGAATCCCCATCACTTCAACCTCATATTTTGAAAAAGAACTTATGAAAACAGAAGTAAACTGATCATTTTGCTAAACTAAATTAGACTGAATGCAAAAAATAGGATTTCATCCAATCTCAGACTTGGAGAGAATTTTAAAAGATCAGTCAGTTCAGTGAACCACTGAAAAGTGATACAGAAAACGGGTCTGGAGAGTCTAAAGAAAATGAGAGTTTTAAGGAGGTGGTCTGATTAGAAACAGACCAGAACACAAAGCTAGACTCGAATATTTGAAGGAGGAGAATTCTTTTTTAAAAAGCAAAAACGAAAAAGTTCTTGCTTAAATGATTAAGGACAAAAATGTAAGTCAAGTTGCATTTAGCATGACCGACCCAGGAAAGTGCTTCAGGAGAGACATGCAGTGACCACTGTGTGCGCCCTGCTGAGCTGGAAGCCCCTTGCTGTTCTGTTACAGTGAACATTCTCGAATGTATTTAAATACCTACCCTCACAATTCTTCTTGCTCACCGTCTCCAGGCTCAAAACTCTCCTGAAGAGATGACCTTGGTAGCACAGGGGGGCAGATCCGGCCAATCTCTCTCGTGGTGATCTGCGGAACCGGCACGCACCCCCCCCACTCCGGAAAGCACAGCCACCAAGCACCGTGCGTGCGTCCCAACAGAGAAAGGGGAGCCCCTCGCTTAAGACCTGACTGAGGTGACATGAGAGCTGTCATTTCACAGGAAGGGAGGATGTGACATTCGTTCCAAAGCATTTCAATACCGTGTACAAATCCCCTATTCTTAAATGTCCACTAGCTTGGAAAAAATGAAAGCCAACCACGGAGTCGTGCGAATTCACGCCATACACATGCCATCTACAGCCTCAGCACTTGACGCGGCACTTACGCCATTTGTGTTTGTGACCAAATTCACAAGAATCTAGATTTAAATTTGTGCCATTGTAAGAATTTTCATATCACCTTAACATCTTGCTCTCATTCTGAAACTCTGTGTGACTCCTTTTCTTTTTTAGGATGTTTTTGTCTTTGAGTTAAAACAAAGCAAAACAAAACGCTTTTTGGTTTTACCCTGTCTCTTCCTTTCTTAAAGCACCGTTCTGCGCCACCAGCCCACTGAAGACAATGACCTTGCATGCCCTCCATAAATGTTCTCTCTTCTTAAGGTGCACTATGTACTCGGCGGCGTGCGGTGCGGAGCCTTGTTCGGCGAGCCCCCCACACCCACCACCTTCTGGAGAAGAACCGTCCCGAGCGCCGGGCGCACTGACAGACCGCCTCCGGCTGCGTGGAGGCTTTCCTCGGACACTGACTCTAAGCCTGGCTCACATGTAGATTAAGAGGATGGGCTCTGGGCCTCCACCGGCAAACCCTGAATCCTGGCTTCTACCGCGTATCAACTGTGTGATGTGGGGACAATTATGTAAGTTTCCTCATACGGGAAGGGAGTCTAGTGAAAGCACCTAACTTAAGTGGCCACTGTGAGAATTAAGGGAGATGGTACAAAAGGACCCCAGAACCCTTCACATGTCTTCCTACCATTCTCTCCGACCACCCCTGACACATGCCCACATCTCTCTCGGGGGCCTGTCCCATCTCAGGTCAACTCTGTTCCCCCCACTCCTAACCCAGCACGCCACTTGGCTGGACGCCACTTGGCTCCAACAGTCCCTGTCAGAGTCACTCTGTTCACCAAACAAAGCTACGGGCAAGCGTGCCTACTGGTTTATGTGCAGTATATAAAACATACTTTACAACCAAAACACGGAGCTAAAAAAATACATGCAAATATTCTAAAACCCACTATAACCAATTTGATATATACTTTTGAATTTAAACACAAATTTGAATACAAATTCTCCCTACTTGCTCAGGCCGTTATCATTAGAAAATGTAATAGGAAAAAATTAAACCCATGTTCTAAAGAATCACAATCAAACTTGTTACATGCAAAATGCCTAAATCTTCCAAAATAAACTTTAAATTAATAACCTACTTATTACTGGCTTCCAGGGCATGGTTTTAGGTGGAACATGACAAAATGAATAATGTGAGTCATCTTCTTTGGACTATAAATACAAGGCAGCTTTCACAACTTTTATTTGGAAATTTGATAAAAGAGAACTAGATGTCAAGTAAAAATATTAGTCAAATACATACATAATATTTTGCCTTAAGACTTAAATATCACACATAAGTTTCTGCAGAATAAGTAAATGTATTCACATTAAAACAAGCTAAATGGAAGATTAAGGGAATGAATTTTTCAACAGTTTATATAAACAAAGTTTATGACAAGAAAAGCTTCGTCATGAATCTTTCTTCATGTTTGTTTTCAGCACGTAACTCTTCAGAATTCAAGTGTCTGGCCCAGCAAGGGCAAGGACAGACCAGAGACCCCACACGCCAGCCCCGCCTTCCGGGGCAGAAGGACGATTCCAGTCCTGGGCTCTCCTGGGCCTGGAGCCGGTTGGCTGGCCTGTTGTCCCCACAGGCCAGAAGTCCTTTCCAAAGCCTGCTGCCGAAGACAGTCTACACTGCAGCCACCCACATGGGCTGGTCAGTCTGCCGGGTGAGCAAGAGGAATGGGCCGTGACAGACACACCGTCACGGCCCTGAAGGTGGCCCATTACGGCTGCTGCCTTCTGTGCTCCGAACTGGGGCCGAGGCAGAAACCCAACCCGAAGGCTCCAATCCCAGATGCAAACACGGAGCCGTGTCTTTCCGGGGCACCCCTTCCCCATCTGCACAAAGAAGCCCAAGGGGGTAGCTATGGCCTGGGGCCCACACAGCAGAGGTACCTGACTGACCAGGAAGTCACTAAACCTTCACTCAGTACCTATTCTGCACTAGAACTGTAAATAAAAGCTTTATTTGTATTATTTCCTTTAATATCTCCCCCTCTGTAGTAATGGGCAACAGAATCCCCATTATGTAGATGAGAAAACCAGCATGTTTCAACACACTGCCAACGAAGAGAAAAGAGCCATCCTCAGGTCTATCATCAGTGAAAAGGGCAGATTGCGTTCAGTAACACATACTAGTGGTTTCTACACTGCGACCTTCCGGTTACTTTCAAGGTAGAACAAATATGCTCGTTAAAAGGTAGTTAAGAACACCACAGCTTGGCTTCCCACGCAAACCACTAAGAGAAAAAAGAAACCTCCAACTTTAAGACCTCAGACAGAAAAAAGCAGTGGGTCAAAGTCGACTCAAACACAAGTGTGTCAAAATTAACCAAACTAAGAATCGGGAGACACTGACTTCAGAACTGAAACTGTAAGAACGGTGCCTTCTCGTTGCAGCCCTTCTATATATTAGTAACTGAACAAGGCTTGGGTAAAACATGCGATTTTGAAATAAAGGACGAAGTCTCCCACAAAAAACCAGGTAGAAACGGGGCGCCTGGGTGGCTCAGTCAGTTGAGCGTCTGACTTCAGCTCAGGTCATGATCTCGCGGTCTGTGATTTCGAGCCCCACATTGGGTGCTGTGCTGACAGCTCAGAGACTGGAGCCTGCTGCGGATTCTGTGTCTCCCTCTCTCTCTGCCCCTATCCCCCTTCTCAAAAATAAATGAACGGGTTAAAAAAACAAAAACAAAAACAAAAAACGGGTAGAAATTAACGGTCGCCCATGCTCCAGTTTTCTTACAAGGATAATGACTATTTTCCATGGAAGGTCCTTGTGGTGCACAAGCCTTTCCTCCATGTGCTCTAACGACAGGGTCTCACTCACCTGAGGCCGAGTTCATCATGTTCTGCTGCACCGGTGGGCTGGTGGGTGCCGTGACGCTCATCTGGGAGAGCATGGCCTTCCTGGGGTCCTGCCATGTTGTTGTCTGATCGATGTGACTGGGATGAAACAAACCACCGCGTTAGACAACGAACACCAGGTCCTCAAAGCAACAACCCCACCTCCCAAAGCAGAGGAGATCTATGTGCACCCACGGAAGGCCTCTCACACGGTCACCTGCCCGCCCGTCCTCTGTGAGAACCTTCCTCGGCCTGTGCCCACTGCACTTTCACCACCCAGATCCTACAGGAACAAGATGTGAAAAACCATGCCTGGAATTTAAGGGAAGGGAACACCATTTTCACCTAGGAGACTATTACTGGCTGCTTCTAATTTACACATAAAAGGCGATTTGTAAATTAATCACCTATGATGTAGTCACATGACCAGAACCCAAAATTCACAAGAGAACCACCCACTTTTTCCTCTGGGAGCTAAGAATGCCAGTTAACATATACTTTTTTAGACCTTCAGGTAAAAATACAAAGAGGGGAAAATATATATATTTTAATGTATATTAAAATATATATTATATATTAAAATATATATTAAATATTTAAATTAAATATTATATTAAAATATATATTAAATATTTAAATATTAAATATATCGAAATATATATTAAATAAAACTTATATATTATAAATATATATTCCAAAGCCAAAACAGAAGTAAAACCTAGATCTATTAAGTTTTCAGTGTCTCGTGACCATCAAAGGCCTTTGTTGCTAAAGAAAACATTTAAACGTTTTCTGCATACTGTTAACTTACTGCAAAATATCTTATTACATATGCACGTGGATATTTTTAATCTGTAACACTGAGGGTGCAAAGGGTCGAAGATTCTGCGAACTAGAAGACTCCAACGTGTCTAGCACAGTATCCGACGTAGGATGGTTCAAGTTTTCTTCTTCCAGCAAAGTCTGTTTCAGTGAAACAGTAACCAGAATCACTATGAATATAAAACTACCTAAGAAATTATGTTTAAGGAATACCCAGAGAAGTATTCAAACATGTATGCAAAGTTCTCTCTGTAAAATTTATAAAAGCAAAAATTTGAAAGCCAGCTAACATCTCATCAAAGGGACTGGCTAACTAAATATTTTATCGTACAGTAGACTACTACAGGTATTGAAAATATTTTAGAAGAACATTTAATAACGAAAATGTTTGTAGTACTGCTTTTTAAAGGAGGTTGTAAAACAGTATGCACAGTGTGAGGCTAACTTTAAATGTGCTGAAAACATGAGAAGGACAGACATCAACAAGTTTTAGTGTTTATTTCTGGATGGCAAAATTACAGAACTCTGCTTCACTAATGCTAGGTTTTCCTACCATCAAACAATCATTTACAAACATTGTTTTTGAATGGGAGGTGGCCAAAAATAAGGGCTATTTTTAAAAGGTACCCCCTCAATCATTTTTTGTGCAGCTGTTTAAATTTCATATCTGAGTCGTCTCTTCTTCAATCGTCTCAAGATGAGCTGCCGTGTCAACGGTAAGGAAATGATACGCGGTCGTTAACTTCCCTGAAATGGAGCTAGAACAGATCTCCTCAATAACGTGATCTTGCCGGGGTGCCCGGGTGGTTCAGTCGGTGAAGCATCCAACTTCGGCTCAGGTCATGATCTCACGGCTCGTGAGTTCGAGTCCTACGTCAGGCTCTGTGCTAACAGCTCAGAGCCTGGAGAGCCTGCTTCGGATCCTGTGTCTCCCTCTCTCTCTCTGCCTCTCCCCTGTTCAAGCTATGTCTCCCTCCCCCTCTCTCTCTCTCTTAAAAATGAATAAACATTAAAAAAGACAAAACCAAAATCTTACTGACAAGACAGGAAAAAAGGATCATTACACTCTGGCTAGACTGAACCTTAGGTATTACCTACCGGCAATGGGAGGAGGGGATGAAGCACACGGAGTCTGCACAGTTCAGAGTGACAGTGGCACCTGTCAAGTGGAGGCCACTGCAGGCCAACCATCAACACAGGGAGTATTTGTCTCTCTGGTGGAGCACACGGTTTCTCAAACCCCAACCTCCCACCCAGCACTCCTTTCTCCAGCAGTTGTAGGCTGTTCAGCAGCAGCACTAGCACTTGCTCAGGTGCAGACAACACAGGCACAGCCTGCTCTCTGTCTCGCCAGGGAAGCACCCCATTCCAGAAGACCAAGTCCTTAGCAAACCCAGTAAAAGCTTACTCCTCCTCCTCTTCAAGCCTCCCTAGGAGCCACGCAACAAATCAAAGTGTAAAATGTCTAGATGTGCAGTGCTCCTCACACTTCCAGATCTCACACACGGTAATGCATGTAGTCATACTGGAAACAAGCTTAACATCCACAAGAACAAAATGGAGAGAAATGTTTCTCACCGCCTGTTTAATGTTAAGAAAGCAGGAAAGGAAATGGCCAAGTGATTACTACGGGCCGTTAAATTTCAACGTATGTGTCACTGCATACTCCTGGTCTCCAGGCTTCCTAAAGGCCCTCCACTTGCGAGGACCAAGGAGAAGAGTGGGGTGCACTGGAAGCAGGCTCAGGATGCGGACTGCTCCACGTTTCTGAATACTCAGCAGTTGGGTTTCTCTCAAAACTAATCAATGACACAAACCATCTTAACCGACTTATAACTAAATTGGCCTCTGTGTGAGAGCTGAGAAGACCCTGTTCTGATGACCAACCATAACCACCACATGAACATTCTGGAATGTGGGCACCAATGTGTAAATATGCTCTCAATGCATCTTTCTCCTTGAAATAAATTATGGTTTTGAATATAATACAGAGAATGTATACTTTTACTGCTGTCAAGAGATCAATTATTTTGCTGAAACATTATGTAAGCACACAAATGCTAAAATTTCTCTTCCTGAAAAAGCTCTTAAACCCCAGTCAGTTAATTCAGAGCCCTATCAAGCTGTACTATGTTACCTCAGCTAATGTCCCATTTGCTTAAAAAGTATCTACATCTTCGGGGCGCCTGGGTGGCTCAGTCAGTTAAGCATCTGACTCTTGGTTTCTGCTCAGGTCATGATCTCATGGTTCATGGGATTGAGCCCCTTCCTTCCCCGCCCCGTCGGGCTCTGTGCTGACAGTGCAGAGCCTGCTTGCTATTCACTCTCTCCCTCTCTCTCTGCTCATCCTCCACTCTCTCTCAAAATAAATAAATTAAAAAAAAAAAGACCATCTAAATCTCCTTAAGAAATAAAGATGTCATTATCTAAACTGCCCGACCATAAAAGCATGTAATCATTTAGATGCCAAAGAAAATATAAAATAAAATTTACCTTAGAATTTGCTTTCGCTTAGTCTGTAAGATTAAATCATGAAAAATACTGTTTTATCCTAATAAGTCAATTTGAAACAGTATACCCCAAAATATCCAGCCTTCCTTTTTATCATAAGAATAAGAATCTTTACCAAAACATTTCATACCACACAGAAGTATTCTTGAAAACTCCAAGCAAACAGTTTGCAAGCCTCCTATCCCCCCGGACACGCACGCGGCACCCCCCCTCACCTCCGCCGGTCCCTGGGCCAGAGCCGTGTTCTCTGAGGCCCTCCCTGTCCACGCCACCTAAAACGTGTCCTGTCCAAATCCAGTCTGCTCCCTCTTCTTTGTTCTATTTTTTTCCTGATAATCTGACATATGTTACTTATTTTGTTTGCCTGTCCCCTCCAACGAACAAAAAGCTCCAGGGAAATAGGGACTTTTATCCGTTTTATCAACTACAATTATCTTCGGTGATTAGAAGCGTGACAGATATTTGTCAGTGAATTAATGAAAAGAAAGCTTTTTTTCTTTTCTGCCCCAAGAACATCAAACTTTCTCTCAAGGTCACCCACCCACCTCCTCCAGAAAAGAAACCACTCGGGAGGAGAGATCCAGCAGAACGAGCAGCAAGGAGGGCCCGGGGCGGCAGGAGGAGGGCACGGTAAACGGGGGTGAGGCGGCCGAGCGAGCTGTGCCCAGGGAGGCCAGAGGAGCCACGACCAGATGCGGAAGAGGTCTGGTGTTTAAGAGGAAAACAGACACATTTAAACGTGGACAGAAAGAGGGGCGCCTGGGTGGCGCAGTCGGTTAAGCGTCCGACTTCAGCCAGGTCACGATCTCGCGGTCCGTGAGTTCGAGCCCCGCGTCGGGCTCTGGGCTGATGGCTCGGAGCCTGGAGCCTGTTTCACATTCTGTGTCTCCCTCTCTCTCTGCCCCTCCCCCGTTCATGCTCTGTCTCTCTCTGTCCCAAAAATAAATAAACGTTGAAACAAAGGTTCAGTTCATCGTGTTTCTACAAAGTCTGGATGCTGAACTTATTACAGGAAACAAGAAGTGTGAAATCTTATAGCACCTTAAAAATCTGTAAATAAACCTTTGCTATTATTTTGGAACAGAAAAGCAACTGGATTTATATGACCAAGATAAACCCTATGATCTCATTCTGGAGCAGCAAAAGCCGGCAGACAATGAACTTGTCAACTTTGGGACTGATGAAATGTAAGTGGCTGTACTTGACGGAGGTCCACGCCTGACAATGGTCTCTCCCGCATAGACAGTGGCTTGTCGGTCTCACTTTACATGACACAGTCTGGTCTCACGTACCAGATGACTTAGCAAAATGTATACACAACCAAAAAAGGGGCAGAAATACTGAAGTAAATAAACCACTAGAAAACGGACGTTCTGCGTAGTCCCACAAGTTCATCACAGCTATGGTATTTACAAATATTTATGGAGCTCAGGGCGCCTGGGTGGCTCAGTTGGTTAAGCATCTGACTCTTGGTTTCTGCTCAGTTCATGATCTTGCAGCTCGTGAGATCGAGCCCCACGTCGGGGCTTGGGATTCTCTCTCTCTCCCTCTCTGCCCCACTCCTGCTTGCACTCACTCAATCTCAAAATAAAATAAACTTAAAAAAAAAAAAAAATCTGTAAGGAGCTTTGTATTTACACTCTCCCGTCCGGAGTACATCTTAAGAAGCTCAAACCTGGGCCTTGAAGATGCAGGGACTCTGACCTTAAAAAGAATAACACTATCATTGCCACACCTCCAAAGTACTGGGGAAACCTTAAGAACAG